GAGGCAGACCCTTTACCTTGGCTTTCACCGCTCGATGAACGGTTCAGTGGCTGCTTACCCAGAGTCAGGGGTGGAGGAGGTTTCAGAGGCGCCTGGCTGGAGCCGTTTCCGTTGCCGCTCCCTGGTATCTTTGCACCCCCAAGTCCCGACTTGGCTCCTGCGAGCCCAGACAGCCCAACGGGCTTCTGGCCAGAGGGAGTTGTCAAGGTTTTGTGGCTCCCACTTGGGCCTGAGGAACCTAGTTTGGAGCTGGCAGGAAGAGATGGGTTTGTCTTGGCGCCAAATGCAGCCCAGCCTGTAAGACCACTGCCTGAGGAGGAGGAGCTGTTGCCGGTGGGATTGGCTGATGTTGTGGATGCCTGGCATGATAAACAGTTACAAATATTATCACAGTGCAACAGATCCCAAGATTTTATTGTCATATTGTATTCATAACTTTCAAAAGATTGAGACCTTAAGTAGACACAAATATCTTTCGAGTCAAACAACAACAAATGAATTTAGTGTTTATCAAAACGGTTTACTTAATAAAGCCTTTGGTTTAAGTCTATGAGTGTATCTGACATTTTACAAATAAGTTAAGGTGAGGTTTTATTATTCACTGAAGCTCATTTATCACTTCAAGGCAAGAAGAATTATCCAACTTTAGTTACATTTCATATCTGCGCAACCAGTCAGCACTACCTAATGGGACTGATGAAACAATTTAGCTTCCGTATATCTATCTCTTGTTCTACTTCAGGTATACATTACCAAAAAATATGTTCTACAGCCTCTATAAAAAGGGGCTTGAACTTTTTACTTTCAATGAAAATGTGTCTGTACATTAGTGAAATTAGCTGGACACATATTTGTGAATACACCATAAAACAATAGAAGAAACACATAAATGCAACATAGGGTCACCAGGGAGACATAGATCCATTTTAATGATGGATTTTTTATTTAAAGCTATCCCCAGTGGAGGACACACTGAGTGTCGCAGAAATACTCAACTGTTGTGTAATCCACAGAAAATAGTCCACAAGAAATGTACAATTTATTCCAGTTTGAGTAATGCCTAAAACTATAGCGCCCTGCTGTTTTAAGAAATAAGTAAAACCTGAAAAAAAAAACGTAATTATATATTTGTGACCTGATTTAAAGAGTGCATAAGACATTGCAGGGAAGTCAGAAAGTATTGAAAGACTAACGCATTGTTGCTTTTGGTCTTTCCATGGGATTTGTTGACAATAACAATAACACCAATATCTTCAGATCACTGTGTAGTAGAGCAAATACATATTTATCAAGATATGTCAATCAGCTGAGTAGCCTACAGGCTATACAATGCCTCAACTCGCACACTTGAGCAATACTTTCACTGAAAAAAAGCTCTCCCGGTCTGAATTGGATTAACATAATCAAATCAACAACAAGGCAACATGTTTGTTGTCAAAATAACTTCATGGTGAACTCCAATAAACAGAAGTACCATGAAAAGTTTTAAACACATTCCCTCTGGAGAAATATACTGGAACACCATCCAAGCATTATTATTTAAAAGTCTTGTTACAAAATAAATGTATACTTTCTGCTCACTTGCCTCTGCAGGGATTTATGTAGACTGGCTTTTAGGGCAGTTTTGCCAATTGACAGCTGTTGCTCTTCTCTCACTTGCTACCAGTAATAACTCTGCAATATAGAATCCTAGTTTTTGCTTGACTTCAGGGTGACACAGGAGCACATAACATTGTGTATAGGAAAACTGTTTGTTTGCGATTGAGCTATTCAGGAAATGTCCTCCCCCTATAAATTAAATTAATTAAAACTGGCACACAGCCGTAATTAGTCAACACATACCTTCACTTCTGTTCTTTTGAAGGCTTGGAAGGTGCTGGTTGTGTCAGGCTTGGCCTTAAGCTCTGTCTTTTTCACCAGTGTGTCTTTTACAACTGGCGCCGATGATGCGGATGCAGGGGATGGCTTCTGAGGAGGTTTCTGGGCCTAGCGGACAAACAATTATAGTTAGTTTTAAACAGAAACAGTACTGACAAAGAAACTATTAACATGACTATGTGCTGATTTAAAAAAAATACACACTAAGTAGATACTGTAATATAATTTATCTTCCTCACCATGCGTTTCATTTGTCTGGTGCAGCGGGCACAATACCACACCAGTCGTGGATCATTGACTTCTTTGTCTGTCACTTGGGGCTTGTGACAGTCCTGGTGGTACAGATTATGGCACTCCTGGCACTCAACCAACTGGTTTCCCATGCTCACTGTCATTTGTCTTAGGGAATTAGAAACATAATAGCAAGGTCAACATGAGAATGGAAATGCATGTTGGGCTAATAATTCAAAGATTAAGTAGAATGTATGTTAGTAATTAGACTGGAATGCAAACCAACAAGTTCATGTATTAAAGAAGGACTACATTTAGTTGGTTGGCTAAGAATTAAGATGTACCTGCAAACCACACAAGCCAGGCCCATTTCCATGGCAAAGTCATCAGCATTGGTCTCATCGTAGTCGTTTATATTGGGCAGAAGGTCTTTGCTCGTCTGAACGGTAATTGGAGAAGAACGATTCTCCTGTTTCTCCAAACGAGGCTTTTTTGGAGGGTCCACCTCACCCAAATCAACCCGGACCTGCTAGTAAGACAGAAAGAGGTATGTTTGGACAAAGCATGGTGACATCAATGCCATAAGTAACAACAGTATTCTTTGTTGTCCTATATGAAGTTATGCATGTGTCTCAGGACTTAATTTCCTCATCATGTAATCAATTCTAACCTGAACTTTATGCATCTGCTTATCCTTTCTTGCCTGAGAATGCAGCTCTGCAATATAGGGCTGTAGGTAAGAAGGTAAGAAACTTGAGAACCAAAACAAAAAAAAGAGTTTGCATTTTCCTTGCAGCCATCTTGATCATCAGACATATTCATGTAGTTTTACATTTGATCATCACATCATTTATTCTGTACTATTTAAGAAAAGAACAAATGTTAATAGGCAGCAAAAAAACACAAAGCAATGGTTAAAGAAGTCTAAAAGACAATGACATAGTTTTATGTGGTTTATGTTCTCCTGTTGGATGATATTGGATAGTTAGTCTACCTTTGCATGTAAAAACGTGTCAAAAACATTTAAAGTTCTGATTTAAGTTCTTTCTAAAAGGATGAGACTAAATTCCTTCTGATTCAAAAGTTATAAACTGTATCCCATACCTTCTCAGAGGGTCTCTTCTCTGCCTCTTTCTTGCTCTTTTCAGAGCTGGATTTGCTGCTGCCGCTGCTGCTGCTGGAGGATGAGGAACTTGAGGAGGACTTGGAGTCCTGTTTACTTAAGCTCAGTTTTGACACAGACCCTTTGGACACCTCTATCTCCTAAGGACACGCAAAGATAATATAGAATACGTAGCATTTTGTTGTATAAATTACATACCAATGGAATGGAAATTGTAGGTAAACAGCACAAACATAAATCTGTGCTGAACTCCTTACTTTTTGTAACAAACGGTAAGATGAGTCACTTCCTCTTGAAAGGGACTCATCTAGTAAAGCTTTGAGTTTCTCGGCAGAGTCTTTACTCTTGGAGTGCAAGTAGCTCAATCCCTTTAAGAAGATGGGATCCAACTCCAGACTTACAGGTCCAGCCATGGCTTAAACTGGGAATCATAAAAAAGTGTCGGTTTCACAGTTAGAACTTTATCAAATACCACTGCTATGGTCACATTAGGTTACACAAATGACAGATTTTTCTTTCTTACTTAAAAAAAAAACAAAACGAAACAAAAGCTGCAATATAAACATTGCAGTGTTAACTTGGACTGATTTCATTTGGCTTAAGTTTAGCGTCAGGATTAAATAAAGACAGTAAAACACTTAATTGATTCCAAAAACAAAATGTCTTTCTAAATACTACTAAACTATCTTTGAATCAGATAGTACAGTGTACCACAGTGGGAAGGTTTCTTGTATATGCAGCCTCCTCGCTTGTACAGACTTCAGGGTCAGTATATATATACACACATATACATATATATATATATAGATTTGGGCTGTTAACATTAAATACATTTTGTTTTCTTCCACAGCCTACTCCCACCCGGTGTGTGTCTCTCATGTAATCACGGTTTTGTGAGACATTTGCTCTGATAATGTTCATAATTATCAATAATGATTATAGAACACAAATGCAGGACAGAGACAGAGAGAAATCTGCCAAAGACAAAACCTCTGTAGAGACGGAGAGACATTAAAAGGTTGATCATCATCACTCTGATGGTCCATTTAGGGTTATTATATCCTGCACTCCATTTTCACACATCAGGGTGTCCTGTGTATATTATTATTTCTTCGTGGGAATTTAACATTATTTCTGTAACGTTAGGTGGGATAGTCGGAACTAAACTTGAGTCCTAAATGTGCCTATTGCGTGTGTAGGGTTACCGAGGGGGAACACATCGAAACACATACACTAACACCGAGTTATTAATTTGGTTTCTGTGTCGCGTTACAAGTCCGGAGCAGAAACACAGACACATAGTAGCTAAAGTTACACACCCCCATTAACCTTTCAGCTGTCAGTTATAAAACTAACCCACAGACTATAACTCCCTGTTGGATTACGTTACCTCACACTCTGCCTCTGGGGGGAACAACAACAACTGCCTCTTAAACCGGCGTTTTGTTTTTGGTGAGGAATTAACGGTTGGAGCAACACTTCCTACAAAAGGAGCAGACAGCCGGGGCGGACGCTTTCCCTTCGTCTTACAAACGCGTGCGACCGTTAAATATGTCCGGAGTCTACACGCGCGGAACCTTATGTGGGAAATTGGTACTGTTCAAGAATATAACACACATTGACGCTCTGCGTTTAGTATTCAGCTAGCTATATTTATCACGTATGATTAATATATATATATACATATAAAAAAACTGATGTAGCGTTAGTATTTTTAATATATATTTCTATTAGCGGAGGTTTCGATAGCATACAGGTGATGGCGCTGTGGAGCTTAGCTTAGCTTTCGAGCAAGGAAAGAAGAAGCAACACTGGGCTAGGAAGCGTGTACCATAACAACGTGGTTTTATTGAAATTGCCGGTGTACATGTCCACATTACGAAAGCTGTTGTAAGTATCTGTTAACGTCATTTTATACGCCGGAGCCGAGCTTGTATTTTCCGCTAGCTCCAAGTTGCTGCCATCTTTAAAAGGACACCTGAACACATTTCTGAAGGTAGTTACTGTTAACCTCCCTCTGTTTTTACTTCACAGTAGTATTTACCATGAAGCACTCAGAGGTGAAGCAACAGCATCCCTCCCTATATCTAGAAGTCTGTTTCCAAAATGAGGAGCCGCGTCTTCCGCTGCACACCTCCATCGCCCTGTTCCTCCTGTCCTACTGCGAGTGCAAGTCTTTTAAAGTTTGCCTGGTCTTCACAAAACGTGCCAGCTCCCAGTCACTGAAGAGTCAGCTACCAGAGGCTCTGGAGCTGTCTGTCACTCAGTTGGAGGACCTGCCCCAGTTGGTGAGAGGCTGCCGTCTGCCTGCTGTTCTGGATGAAACTGGGAAGCTCTGCAGGGCAGGGCTGGCAGTAGTCCTGAGACACATCATCAACAAGACCTTAGAGGCTGACCCCTTTAGAAAGGATGTGTTGGCACTGCTGGGATTCAAGAAGACCTGTCTGAAAGCCTGTGCTGAGGTTAGTGGCAAGCAGGGACACACATGAGCAAAGTACAAGCCAGACAGTTATTGCTACAATGTGTCCTACTTGCAATGTGCATGGAGAAGGTAGCTTTAAAGGGTAGAAACTTCAGCAACACTTTTAGTATTAAAAACACGTTTATTGTGACACTTATGCAAAGTCACACCAGATTTGGTCCTTTAACTTGTACTCGGGAGTGTCATGACAGCATCATGCAGTGAAACCAGATTGTGCACATATTGATTTACAATACTTTGAACATGTTTATCTTCCACACTTTAGTTTCACTGAAACACTAGCATAATACTATTATAATTTTCTAGAAAGCAACTGACACAGAGCATTCTGACTAAAGCCTGTAATTTGGTAGAAACATTGAGGCAGTCTTTAATATATACAATTCCAATGAATTGATTATGATTTATTGCTAGTACAACCTAGTTTTTCAATGCACATTGGGTCAGCTGAACATGCAAGCAGGTAAACATTTGTGTACAGGCAATCATACAAGTCAACATGTATGGATGATAAACTTTCCAATAATAACTGGAAAAATTGAGTAGTATTTAGTTGGATTTCAATGCTGCAGGCGTTTCAATGAAAAACTCATTATAAACTCAGTACATCCAACAAAACTCAGGTAATTGCCTCCTAACTTTGTCCCAGTTGTTCCTAAAATTGGGTGCCATGCTACATAGTTCTTCACAAGAAACCTCCTCGGAGATTATTAGGAAAATGCGCCTTTTTAAGTCAAGCATTACAATTGCTTGTTGATAAGTTGATTGTGGGTTGAAGTTGTCAGTGGTTAGCAATTCTGTATCTATTTGCTTGGCTGATTAAATTTCACGCCCTCAACGGAAAAACAGCTTTTATTGCACATGCTTTAAAAACGTTTTCAGCCCAAAGGAGCTTTTCTTTTACGAGTCAATGGACTTTTTTTGTAACAGCATATTGATTAGGGTGTGGGCACATGGTCAGCAGCATTATACTGATATAGACAAACACAATCACAATAATAAACAGTAAACCGATGTCTTTCAGTGCTGTTTTTGCCCTTGAAATTCTTTTCTTTCTTCACTCTCAGGTGAGCAAGTGGACCAGACTGTGTGAAATCGGCATTCCCTCTGCTGTCGAAGAACACCTCAAAACCCCCCAAAATCAATATCAGCAGCTGCCTCTCTCCATCCTCACCCTAGAGCGAAGGCTAGCGGAGCCAGTCAAAGTCCACAATGATGACAAAATACGGAGACAGAAACTCCAAGAGCAGAGACAGAATGAAAAGAACGAGTCCCCTGAAGGCCAAGGGAACCCAGACTCTGAGTCTAAACCTGGAGTGTCACCTCAGGTCTGTGATGGACTTGAGCTCAGGGCGGCTTTGGCCAAGCTGTCTGTGGATTCAGTTCCAACTCTGGCCACCAGAGAGAACTCTGAGATCAGGAAAGTGAAGACCACAGACCTGCCTCCGCTGGAGCACGTGTTTGCTGAAGGATTGTACTTCACTCTGACTGATGTGGTGCTGCTGCCATGCATCTATCAGTACTTGGTAAGGGCCTTAGAGTTTATGATTTATGTTTGTCTGTAATGAACCCTTGTGGCAAAGGACCCTGCTCTTATTGCTGCCTTCAATTGTAGCCTCATTTGGATCCATGAATACAAGTCAAATGCTCATTTAGTATCAATGCCTTTCAATGCATTAAGATTCTGTGGGCGTTACAAGCTTTACTGTAAACAAAATACCCATTATTGGGCTGTGAGCAATCAAGTGTAGCTATGCAAGCCATTGTCTCTCAACATAAAGAGTAGCACACATGACTTAGGTCTGATGTTACCTCATACAGATGGTGCCATTCAGGCTGGCTTACATACATTTACGAGCTTTTTTAATGTCTTTATTATGATGACTTGTCAAATTATGCATGACTCATGGTTTTGACACTGTGGTCAGGGTGATCGGGCAGTACACCCAGCTCCTTTCAGATTCATCCAGGCAGAAATTTGAGTTAAGAAGACTCGCTGCATCAGACTTGGCACAGGTTTTCCTCTCAAAGGTGGTCTAGAGCCACCTGGCAAAGAGTGATAACAGTGTATGGGAGGGTTTCTATTCAAATGCAGCAGGTTGAAATGCATTTCAATGACTTTACTTTACGTTTTCTCCCTGCAACAGATCAAGAATTGGTGGGTTGTTATGTTGACCTGAAAACTCTTAACTTCCCAAAAAAGAAAAAAAAAAAATCTGCACGACTTTAAAAGCTCCCGAACATTTTCTGAATATTCATGACATATAATGATTGCATATTTTACAAGTACAGTTGGTAGCAATTAAAGTAGCCGCGGCAGAGACCAGAGAGTACCACGGCTGTTTAGTTCGATAGTATATTGTTATTGATCAGGAATGCTGCACTGTCAGGCAGTGAAGTGGGTCTCAACCTCCATTTCACCCTTCGGCTGCCTCCAACTATTCCTCGACTGTGGGAATGAACTGAACTTCTCACAATGAGGCTTTTAGTAGTCAGCTGTGCTCCAGTGGTTTCCAGTTTCACACTCAGCCTAGCGTGTCTCCTCTTAACGGCCATCACTGTCCACGACACATGGAGCTACGACGGATCCTTTCCACTCCACCCACTTGTCGTGCTGCATAGTGCCCTGTTCTCCCTCTCTGTGTCTGTGTGTCCCCCCCACCCTCTTTCTTCTGTCTTCCACACACAGTCACACACGGTGACACTGCTCCTCTGATCATGTCTCTGTTTGTGTCTTTACCCTCCCCACCTGCCAACGCTGTTTTGATGTTTTCCCCCTGCCGGGCCCCCTTGTGTCTGTCTGTCCACCAGTGTGATGAGTGAATTCTACTGGAACCTGACATTTCGCTCCACTGGAGATGACATGCCAGATGAGTCACTTAATCAATATCTCCTTGTTTTTTCTTTTTCTTTTCTCTGTCATTCTTTCTGTTGTCTTTTGATAGCTTTCCCTTCAAACCCACGCTGTGAGCACTCTACATCAGCTCCCCCACCTGCTGCGTTGGTACAGACGGGTTCAGGAGGTACCTAGAGTGCTTCAGGCAGCCGAGGCCTGTGGAATGGTTCTTTCCGTCCCCCGAGTTCTCGCGTCCAGCCTCCCAGGGCCATCAGCGGAGGACAACCCACGTAGCCTACTGGAGCAAGAAGAAGGCCAGGAGATGACCGTAGAGCCCCCCTTTGTTGGAGGCCCCAGGCCCACAATGACTAAACTTAAAGTAAATTATTACATTTCCTTACTTATTTCTTGTCATCCTTTACCTCTCTGTGGTCTCCAAACATATTTGCTTTAACACACACGTACACATATACAGACTGTAAGTTTAAGGAGCTGTCTCCCAGTGTCCCTTCGCAGCACAGAGAGCGAGTTTGTCAGTCTCCAACTGGTTGTTAACTATTATCCCTGTAATTTCATGCATCCATTTTCTGCTGATTGTGCCTTCAAGAGTGTAGCTCTAAGTTAATGTTTTGGCTTCTGGGAGACGTTCTTAATCGTTGATTTTTTTTTTGTGTTTCTGCCGGTGCTTAAACGTTAAGTGCTTTCAGTCACAGAATTAACATTTTAAGTGGGCTGTTGAAAGGTTTTAGGAGTCTTGTCTGTGTACATGATTTTCTTCTGACAGAGGATGTTTCTATGACAGTATATTTATAGTCAAGACAAACTATCAGACCTTTAAGTCACCTTTCTGAAAAGAATAACAGAATCTTATGTACAAGCTCAGTTTTTCACTGCCCTTAGCGCATCATAAAATGCACGATTCAGGATTCTCTTGCCGCTTGCAATAGTGCAGACAATGCACATTTGGCTTATCCTCATTTCAGGTGCAATAAAAACAATGAATCCAGTCCAAACAAAACAAAGTTTTATAGCCAGACTAAGTAGTTTATAGTAATGACTGAAAATCTTAGTGTAAAGAGACAAGAAGGCACACAATACTAGCATAATGTGTCCACGCTCTTAAAATGCAGTTCCCTCAGGAAGCATTGGCAAGACACACACACAGTCACACACATTTATAGCTTTCTTAGCTCTGTAGCACACCACATATTGCCCCTGCAAATTTTCTTGGACTAGCTTTTCCAGCAGGAGATAAGCAGGCCCAGCTGTTTCAAAAGGAGACTGTCTCCTCAGCCCAGACTAACCCCTCAGTACTGAGCCCTCAGACTGTTTCCTTGGCCTTGTTGCTCTGCTCTCTCAGCAAAGATAGTTCTATGATTTCCTGCCGGCTAAGTGTCTATAACAATGTGGGTTTAATTGATGGGAGAGAAAAGCGAAACAGAAGTGAAAGAGGGTCTGGAGAGTTTGGATGAGGCCGACTGAGCTGGGTGGTCAGGATGGGGTGTGCGTTTAACGTACTGATGTTGCCGGATGAAATTTAGTTAGGCACAGATGTGCTCAAATGACAGTTTTCATGGCAGGTTGAAATCAGACATTAAAACTGAGAGGAATGTACACACACACATACACACAATGGCCACCATTCTCTCTTTGCCTAGAGGGATTACAAGGATGGCTGCGTGTCGCCACCATCATGTCTGCACTGCAGCTGTTATGTTGTCTTAGCCAAGGTTCCTGTGTGTGTGTGTGTGCGCGCATATGTTCTCATATATGACTATGTGTGTGTCCCAAGGCAAGTACATAGAGACAGAGAGGTCTGCCGTCTAACATAGTGACACGCGATCCTTCACTGCTGCTAACCAGAGGCACAAGGCTCATCTCGCTACACAATCCACAATATAAATGGCTCATAAACTCTCCCTCTTTCTCACTTCAGTTAACACACACTGATGCATGCCAGTCAAACTGCCTGCGCAATGAGCTGTAGAGGCGCGACCCGTGATCCAAATGTAAATTAAATGGTAGCCCCACCATCAAAATTCAAGACCTAAAGAAAAGCTGGCTGCTGTCACTCACACATTGATTGACAGATCTGTAAATACAGTTGAATTAGACAACAATTCAATGTGTGAAAAAGAAGTAACATATGGGGGTGATCCAGAATTGTTGAGTTAATTGGATCGGCTGAATCAGAATTCAGGGAAATCTTGGATTTTCATTTGGAAGACTGGAGCTCACAGGAAAGCCGCTGTTCCAGAAACAGGGATTAATGACAGTCTGTGTGTCTGTCCCTGTGGAAACATATGAGCTGAAACCAACCGGCTATACTGACTAACTTTATTACTCCTTTTAGTCCTCAGTTGGTCATAAGGCTTCAGTCATTGCTTGCTATTTAAAACTCATCTCCACCGCTGCCTTGCAGTAACATTCATCTCTTTATTCGAGCTCTTGTCTTGCTAGAATGTGACTGTGGCATCCATTATGGAGGGCATCCACTGTCTCTTTTCCACGTCCCCTGTATCGACTGGCCAACACTTGGAACCAAACAGCGGCACTGATTTGACTTTGTTGTTGTGGCAGATTAACTTGATCTTAACCCTTAAACCTCTCAGACTTGTTATCAGGTTCTAACTCTCAATCACGGTGCTCAGCTGCTGTTGTCATTGACCAGCCAGACTGAACATGACAGGTTTTTTTTTTTAAGAATTATGCACTTGCACTGCTCATTTTATTTTACTATGGCCATAAGTCAAAGTATATTAAGAATTTTTATTTTATTTTTGACTGTCTTTATCAAGGTTAAGACTACCTACTTTTTTTTTTTTACTATGTATAGAGATTTGGTATGTTATGTACCTTTTTATATGTGCTCATATATTTTAATGGCTTACCTACATTAACCATTTCTAGAGAAATGTAGCCACCTTTGGGTCAGTGGAATTATTTGTTTGTATTACTTCTGGCTTTTCATGAGAAGTCCAGCGTTACATAGTTTATTTTCTGCAATACCTCACCTTCACCCAGTGACCAGAAAAAAAGACTTTAGTTCAATTTAAAGGCAGTATACAGTATATGCTTCCATGTGAAACCTACAATACATGTATAATTGCTGTGTGACTGTGTCAAGGGTAATTTTGAGGCTGTAATTTGTAAGCACACCACCACACAGTTCAGCCCCACTGTGCCTCACAAACAACTGAAGTCGTAGTGTCAGCAAAAATTTTAAAATTTCCATGAAAATAGTACAGGGTTGTTATGTTGCCTTGCATTACATCATACGTATAAGTGTTAATATTCTTGTGGTCTCTTAGTGTATATGTTGAAGTTATTTATTTATTTAACTGTATGTACATTGTTGTGAATAGGCTTTGGCAATATGCTAAGCTAGGAAGTATACTGACAATGATTTTGCAATACCATTGCACCAGTGAAGTAGTGTCAAACAATATTTCTACTGTAAAGAAATACTTAAATTAGGCCTCTCATTAGTGTCATTTTAACCAAAAAAAGCAAGTTGTTGTCAGTTACCACTATACCTTGGAAAAATGTAAATTATATTTTGCCTGCACCACCACACACTACTTTCACACTTTAAGTATAAGGTGATTTCATACTAATTAGTGTTCATGTGAAGGCAAACTCACAGCTGTTAGAAAAGGATTTTCCTAAAAGAGATTTCTTGATAAATTTGTTTTCAACAGTAGCATAACTAGCGCATAGATGTTCTAACCTCTTATCATCAAAGAGAGAAACAGTGCTTTACCTTGTGCGCCTACATTTCTTCTTTTCTTTTCTAGTATTTCTGTAAAGTGTAATGTTTGTGTGAGATTATGTCCTGTGCTAGTGAAACATTTGTTCTTGAGACCGTAATAAGTGCACTAGCAGTGTTTTTTCCACAGGTAAAGCTTTAGATCAGTGAGGGCAAGGTAACAAAGGGTTTGTTCAAGAACAGGTCTCTTTAAATCACTTTATTACTAACATTTGGACCACAGAACCTCAAGGCTGTAGAGAGGTTTCTATGGTAACGTGTGTATTTGTATGTGTGTGTGTGTGTGTGTGTTCCTCCCTAAGGAAAATGGCATCGAGGCAGTCTTCGCTCCTCATCCTTGCCCTGCCTGGACCCTCCCATGGGACAGCTTACCAGGAGCCATCAACCCCACTGAAGGTAATGTCAAATCTCTGCCTTGTGGCTCTCGTCTTTGCCTTCTCCATTTTCGGTTTGCCCTTCTGCCCTTGCACTCTTTTCTGTGCTGTTCTGTTTGTGTTTGTTTGTTTTGTTTTTTAAATTCTTGTTCTTTGCTTTCTCCATATTCACCTCCCTCATATCTGTATCAAAAACCTACTCCTTTCTTCATTTTTTATCTACCCCATCTTTTTATCTATGTGCCTCTACAGATAACTCCCTCTTTCTTTCAACAAAAAAACAAATATGTATATGGAGAAGTGTGCATAAATATTTGCATAAAACCTTCCTGTGCGACTGTGGCCTGGTGATTTTCAGTAGCACATGGCACCCACCAAAAGAAAAATATTAGCCACTGACACGTTGCAGAGCTTTCTGTTCAGCCTCAGCTGGATGTGTTTCCCCATGAGGGCCCTTAATGAATTTTAAAGTGCTTATCTCAATGTGTTATCCTCCTTATGTCGTTGGTTGCAAGTGTGAAATAGGTCTGTGACAGGAACAGACTGAACACAGCAGAAACACACAAAAACGTGCATGCACTGAAAGCCTCGACAACTAATGTGCAACGTCGAACTTGTGCGTATGCCTTAGTGGATACTGATTGCAGTGAGAGCAGTATCTAATAGGCAGTGGAAAGGTTGTTGATTGCTGCCCCAGGTGGCACTGGCGAAGCAGAGACAAGAAATCTCTGTTTCTTTGTCTCCCTTTCTCCCTGCATTGTTTTTCGTCTTATTAGTGAGATGTCTGTGTCGGTAGCAATGCTAAATGGTATGAATGCATGTTTTGGAGCTGCAGCAATCTATCTATGTTATTGTTCTAAGAAAATGGAGGGGGTTGATAAAGATCCTTATATACATAATATGAATATTTAGATATTTCCTTTTCTCTTCATCATTGTGTTGTGCATTCATTTCTTGGTTCCCTTCATTTTCACACTGTGGCTCATTCCTCCACTTCAGAGAACATGGATGGAGATGAAACTGGAAAGGTATTTCATTATTAAGATATATGCCCAGTATCCTGTTAAGGAGCTACAGTGTAACTTTGAATCTAAGTATACAAATGACTCGTGAGTGAACTTAAAGTCTATAGTGTCTTGTAGACGGTTGCAAATGTCCTCACTAAACAATTACAGGGAACAGGAAGAATAAAATAAAAAAGAAATACTGAATATACATGACATAGCTACTGAATGCCGTGTTGATATTTTGTGTATTGAAATTGAACAGTTTGTAGTCCATTTCTTACTTATTTTGCTTTGGGGCTTTGTCACATAATGTGTTGCTGATTGTTCATAATTAATAGTGCTGCAGCGATTAATGATGTATCAACAGAAAAAGAATCCAACTATTTTCAGAATCGATTCATCATTTTTGTCATTACAAGCAAAAATGCAGAACATTCACTGAATACAGCTTCCCAAATGAGTATTTAATGCTAGTTTTTGTCATATATGATACATTGATATGATAGTAAAGTAAATAGTTTAGGGTTTTGGACTGTTGGCCACATAAAACAAGTTATCTAACTGGCTCATCTTGCGCAGTGGGAGACTTTAGTGGTTAATTTTCACTTTTTTGTGACAATTTATTACAGCCATAATAATTAATATCGCTGTAGTTTTTTTAATCTTTTCTATGTATGTAGGTTTGTATAAAAAGCATCACTTGTCTTAATGCTGTTAGATATGGGTGAGAACACCCCCAAACACAGAAGTAGCTGTAGTAGTGTTAGTGTATTTTATCAGCACTTTAACCTGATAGTCACTGTTTAATTTCTGTCTGCTGGATTAGAGTCAACACAATTTAAAAACATTATTATCTTACTGCTTTTTGAATGCACTGTACTGGTTGTAATTTCTACAGCCATTTGTAGCCTATTAATGTAATTCCACAGTACAACTTAATCATCCGTTTCTATCCCAAAAAAAACCCTTTTGACATCTAAACAGAAGTGCTCTTGATAATGTGGGCAGTGTATCTATTCTGAGAGTGAGAATCATGGAGAGAGACTAAATTTTAGCTGTTCCACTTTTGTCGGCACTCTGCATGATAAACGGCACTGTTGATATCCCCTCTTGCAGTATTTGGACAGTAGGTAGGTAGCCCCTGCATTTCAGTGTTGTGTAATTAAAGAGGAGCAGAGACGAAAGGCAGACAATTTGTCCTGAACCCCAGTGCGTGGGCTTTCCCATCTATCTGATCCTACAGTATACATAAATGGCTGCACACACGCCTACATGTACAGTACAACAGGGAAAATTGCAGCATTTTTCCCTTACGCATGCATAAATATTTCCATACCTGCAAAACTAATATAACACACTCAAGTCTTTGAAAGCTGTCTGACTTATATGTATTGGCTCATCATTTTCACATAAGTGCATATACAGTCTGGTCTGCAAGTATTTGGATAGTTTTGTTTTGACCCTGTATTCCAGAGCATTGGATTTAAAATGAAACAATGACTCAGAGGTTATAGTGCTGACTTTCAGCTTTAATTTGAGTGTTTACATCCACGTTCAATGAACCATGTACAAGTTTAGCCCTTTTTATCCATACCCCTGAAGGGTAAAAAAGCCTTCAATTTGCACACCCAAATATGGATGTGAACACCTCCAATCATATTCAAAGCTCAAAGTCAGCACTTTAACCTTGCAATAGTTGTTTCCTTTGAAATCTATTTTGCTGGTATAGAGACAAAACTATAAAGAATGTTTCTTTGTGTATTTCTTCATATCTGCTTCAGCAAAACAGATGAGATAGTCACACATTCATTCTAAAAAAAACAATGCCTTATTTTATGTATTGCTCCAGAATATTGACCCAACTAATTGGCATTCAGTGCTAACAGGTCCCAAACAATGACGCTCTGGTATGCACAATGTATAGAGGAACAAAGGGATCTCTGTGAATGGGAGCTGTTTGAGTTTTTGCCCTCCTTGTGTAGAGGGCTGCTTTGCTAAATGTGGTGAGGGCTGTCTGCAGACAGGTAAACAGCACTGTGAATACAGGGGCCATTGTATAGCAAAGCCAACGTCTTGTCTGCAGTGCTTCACTTAATAGAGGGAGGAAGGGAGGTAGTGCATAAAGCGGGTTAGAATGATGGAGTGTGTGACAGTGGAAGATTGAGATAGGGGTGAGACAGCATGAAGAGAGACAAGGGTTATCAGGAGAAAACAAGACAAGGGAAGAGGGTGAACGAGACAATCAGGCATGAAAAAAGGGAGGGCTGGTGTGGAAGCCACATAGTTGTCATGCTTCAGACATGCTGCTATTATGTCCTCCAGGGTTGTTTTTGGTACAAGGAGATGAGATGAGTTCCCATGTCTTAGGTTACAAGAGTATGACCGAAGTTGAACTGCTGGAGTGAAAATGGTCTCCATTTGACTCCCTGCGTTGACTACAGCAGAGATGTGATTTTTGGGTGGTTTGGTAGACATACTGAACAATGTACAGTATGGAGTAACGGTAGTATTCATTTATCATTGTGGCCACCTTGCTGGCTCTTTAGTTGCTAATGCTCCACTGTTTTCTCCAACTAGTGACTTGTCTGCTGTCTGCTGAGCAGATACTGTACAGCAGGGTTATTTTGAGAGAACGGATGCCTGCTGTAGCTGAAAGAGAATGAACCAAAACGGTAAAGTTGCAGGCAATAAAATCAAAACAAAGAGCTGAAAGATGCTTAAACGCTCAGTAGGGCTGAGGGGAACTGCAGAGTCTGTACTGTTTTGTGCATGTGGTAAAGCTATATCCTGATATGATCCAGGCCTGTTCATTGCAGTAATGCTTTTCAGAAATAGAATGGCCACGCAGTGTTAAGTGATTTCATAGTTTAACACAGCACACAACGGAATAGCCTTTTTGAACTTCCTACTCCTTCACAGACGTCTTCCTACATCATTATCTTCTTTGTGATTTAAATCCCAATAGAAATGTTAGCCGCACCAGAGGTCTTGGCCCACGCTTTCCAGTGCTTTGCTTGTTTTCTACACTGCGTATACGTCTAATGAGTAGTTAAACATCTGTCATGTTTAGCTTCCAGATACCCCTCAGATGCTCACCATATCAGTTTGGGAATAGGAAGACTTGTCTGTAAGATGCATCAAAGATGGAATATCAATCTAGTAGCAACTTTCAAATATTTTATTATGTAGGTGGATGTGTACTGTTCCTTGCTTTCTCTAGTGTTTATAAAGTTGGTTTTAAAGATGTGAAATGTGTTCTAATGCAGCGGTGTTGGCGTCATCCACTGTTAAATCAGTTTGGCTGTCTGTAATGAGTTTGATTTCCCCTCGGGCATATCATCTCACTGTTATTGAACTTAGATTGAGATAATTAGCTGGATTTGATTCAAGTCCAGATTTATGAATTTCCCTTTACATTTTCTTAATTTTCGTAGACTAGATATTGACTGCGTGCCCTAAGGACACAGTACAGTTTCTCTCAGCTGCACTTTATTCTAGTGCATTATTGTTAACTTCAAATAAAGGAATATTGCAAAGATTTCATCTTTCACTTATTGAGAATTGTATCTTTAAGAAGACTGTGACATGGCGTCTCTTACACTTGCTCTCTGATGTTACTGTCTACAGTGTTTTATCTGATTATAATTAGTGTAAGCTGTTGGTAGAAATAATTTTCTTCATAAATTATATTCATAGTAGTTTAACAACAAGTTTTTGTTTCAACAAGAGAACAGATCTGATGAGATAATCATTATATTACATATCTGTGTTGTGTTATATGTGTTTTTCTGAATTCAGGCAGGTCCACTCACTCTTATGCCACATATGGCAGTCTGTAGGCCATAATCCATAAAATAAAAACCACCGGCCTAGTCAGATTTAAATATCAATCTGCTGTTCCTCTCAGTTTTGTGGAGCTTTTTAGCTGGTGAACATAGTTGAGAATTTTGCAGCTTAAGAGCTGCTTAATTATATTTCCCCCAGGAGTGGGTGGAGGCCAAAAGGTGGCCAAAAA